GAGAGAGAGAGAGAGAAGATATGAAAATGATTTGGAAAATGATTCGATATCACCTGCACACTGCTCTTTTCCCATTCTTCTTTGAGTTTTTCCGAATTTCAATCTCCGAGGAAAGGATGTACAAGGTTGTAGTGCTCGACGAACTCGCGGCAGTTGTTTCCGACAACGAGCTCCCGTTCATCTTGCTCGCGAGCAAACTCTCCACGTGCTCGCACCATTTCTTCCACAAAATGTTTCTTCTCTGTATACCTCCGAGCTCGTAATAGTTTACTCTTCCGTCGATAAATCTAAATCGGTATTAATGATAATCGGTCAACGCGTCGTTCAATTATCGTTACTATCGTGAGAAAAACTTGGTGAAAGTTGTGGAAGCTGTCGCTTTTTGTATTGACGATTTTTATTTTTTTTTATTCCTCCTCTCAGGAAATGTCTACCTTGCCTTTAAGGTTTTTCGACGTCTTCTGCTGAATATGCTCAGGTTGACGCATCGTAAAGGATACACTGAAATAAGCTCGAAACATTCGATGCTGGGATCGAGGGTACGTGGGCAGAAGAATTGCGATTTCTCGTTGAAAACGTCGGCAGCAACGATTAATTTTGATGGCGTGAGAGCGAGGGAAACTTGTCGAATTCCACGACCGTTTCTCGTCGTTTCGGCGAACGGGGATTCCACGAGGATAACATCGGAGAAGTCTGAATACTCGGAGGCCAATAATTTTTTAATCCTGTTTTGGTCCACCTCGGGGTTCCTCGTGCGACGACGAGATTTGATTTTATATGTTTGGTGCATCGAGTCGAATTTTTATTCATATGTGATACAAGATTCGTTACACGACCGGTTAATTTTTTTTTGACACGACCATCGGATTTGTGCCACGATTCCGCTCGCGAGAGGTTAATAACTTCCGAACGAAGTTACAAAGTGTGATGTAAGCCGATCACTTTTGTTAGAGGGCGTGTTTGCATGTAATTTTTTTTCAAAGCATCGTTGACGATATTAGCTTTGAAGTTGTCGCAAAAGTGAAGCATCGATCGAAGCAAAGTTGTCAACTTTATATCATAGACGATATTAGTTTTTTTCTTTCTTCTTCTTTTTTTTTTTTTTTCACGATACTTTAACTTTAGGATCACTTTGAAAGGGGTGGAAGCGAAGAAACGATCTAATTCCATTGGGTATCATCGTTTTTATTTTTTTCAATTCAATGCCTCCATCGAGTCTCGCGACCTGTACATTAGTCGGCGACGGAGGGGGACTAAGTTTCTTTTATAGACTCGGGCCTACGTGGTAAAAGGTGTCGCAGTGCCTGTCGTTTCGGTTAATTAAGAGTACTTTAGCTTTATTTTTTTTTTCCTTTTTTTTATCTTTTTTTTTCTTTTTTTTTCTTCGTTTTTTTTCTTTTGTTTCTTTTTTTTTTTTTCTTTTACTCCTTACTCGCTACAGTACGATAATAAATAACATGTAAAAAAAGACATACAGGTAAAAGACAAGTAAAAAAGAAGCTCGCCAATAGGGGGAGCGCTTTTTCAATCTAGAATAATAATAAAAAGTCGATGTAAGTTGAAAGAGCGTGCAAAAATGTACAAAGTGGCAGAGGTACATGGTGGACTCCTAGAAAACGATTTGTTTCGACTTATTTTCTTTTTTTTTTTTTTCCTTTTTTCTTTTTTCTTCTTTTTTTCTTGTTTATTTTATTTAAACGAAAGCTAACTTTTTTTTTTTTATCGATTATTATGTTCCGGGTTCACTTTGATGGTGACTTTGTTGTTCAGAGCGGACGCGAGCTTCTCGACGTTGCTCTGACCCAACTTGGAACCCGGCTCCGAGTTCGTTGTCTCGTTGTTCGACACCGTTGTGTTTTCGGGGATCGGTTTAACGGTTGGCTGTACTTCCTGGAACACAAAGTGAAACGTTTGCGAACTATATATATATATATATATATATATACACAACTT